GTGACCATCAACTTGCCTCAACGCTTTTGGGGCCATACATCAGTTTGTGTTACGCGCTTGTGACCAGCAACTTGCCTCAGCGCTTTTGGGGCCAGACATCTTCTAGATTTCCAGGGGATGTAGTTTCATTTCCTTGCAGCGTAGTGCAAGCCAACTTGTTTCTGGCAAAGTTGTGGAGAAACTTGCTTCGCTTCTTGATTTTGTCGTTCAGGTGGTTTTTTTTCGGCCGCCAGCAAGCCGAGGTGCAAATGGCTTGGCACACGGTGAAGGAGTCGCTTCGAAGACACGCTTGTCGCGGGGACAAGATGATTCCATTTCTTTTGAAATTTCGAGACATCGTGGAACGAATCTCACACCACGTGATGCTGGAAAGGCTGGCGGCAACTTCTGAGGTCCTTTGGCTGGAACATGATGGGGTTGCAAGTCTACTCACGCACGCTCGTCCCTTGTCGTGCTTAGGTGGTGGTAGGGCTTGCGCTGAAGCGTGGCGAGGAAGCTGCCATTCCGGATTGGGATTTGGTGGTGAAGAAAGTCGATGTGAGAGGAGCCTTGAACGTGTATCTTTCCCTGCTCACGTCGGAGCGATTTGTTGTGAATGTTGGTATGGTGGACACCAAGAAGCAGCAGCTATGCCAAAAGAGCCTCGGGTTTGCACATGGGAGTTTCTTGCTGTGTTTGAGCTTGCGACTCATTTGGCTGCGAGTCAATTTATAAGGTCCGGAACAGGGTCCGGAACCCACATGCGATCCAGACCTCCGTTCCAGACCTCCGTTCCAGACCTTGCCTAGAAACATGTTCCAGACCTTCCGTTCCAGACCTTGTTTATGCACATTTATTTCAGGAGTATTGATTCAGATGGTCGTTCTTTGTCGGGTGTGCAAGTGCAATGGCCAAGGCTGAAATGGCGTGGAGCAAGAAAGAAGGAGCAAAGGAGCAAGAAAGAAGGAGAAATAATGAAGAAAGGAGTATCGGTGTTCCGCAACTTTGGTTCGGTTCGGTGCGATACAATTCCGCCGCTTTCGATACGATACGGTAACGGTTCGATACCGTTCTCGGTTGAAACGACCATGTTTACATGCGGCCTGCTAGCATTCCAAAGTGCAAGCCACTCGCGTAACCGTTCCAGACCCCGTTCCAGACCCGTTCCAGACGTGTTCCAGACGCAGCGGAGCAATTTGCCTCCAAGTCCACATGCACACACATGCGCCATGTAAGTAGCTGCGCTTCTCACGTGGCCCGCCACCCAAGAAGCCTTCCAGGACGACATGTGCCAGGGCTTTGGAGACAAAGAAATCTTTGAAGGATACCCTGCATCGGCTTGCGCATCGGTGGACATCGGCTTACGCCTCCCAGCCTTGTGCATCGGCTGGCGTGCGTGGCGGGCGTGACTACAGCGCATCGGTGTCCCAATGACGCGAGGGTGGCAACGATGCCGGCGCGCCCCTAATCGCTTCATCCATCCATCTACCCATCCATCCATTCATCCATCCATGTATCCATCTTACACTACATGAACGTGTGCTTGAAAACTCCACGCATGTCCTCCTAGAGGTCCGGAACAAGCGATCTGGCGTAACTGACTCGTTCCAGACGTCCGCGTCACCGCGGAACGTTCCACACCAGAATATTGACCCACACCCATTTGACTCTGGGCCGAAACAGCACCTTGGGAAAGCGGGGAGTTGTGATTCAATTCGGATAATGCAATTTGCAACTGCGTCGGCGATCTTGCCCCAGCGCAGGTGCAAGGGATCTCTCGCCACTCCTACCTCATCAGCGTCGCCGCTTGTCGGGATCGCGGCCACCATGCTCTATGTTTCTTTGGGCCGTCCCAGCGTTCCTGTGACATGGCAAGTCCTGCAGGGCCGGCTTGGGGCGAGTGACAAAGAAGCAGCTCTGCAGGCTCTTGAGACTTTGCGGAAAGCCAGTGCCGTGCTGGAGGTGGAGCGCTCGGTTCCAGGTGAGCCGGCGGCAGCGGCGCAGCCCAAGAGAAGACGTGTTGGCCAGCCGCCAAGTGCTGGCTTGCCTTCGGAGCCGTCTGCCAGCGCTGCGCAATCTTCTGAGAGGAGCTCGAGCTCTTTAGTCATGTCCACAAACGTGGAAGAGCCGGCAGTTTTGGTACGTAGGAGTGGGCAGATGAGCTTCCCTGCTTTCAAGCTTCGACCTGTGACAGAATGGACGGAGGGTGACGCATTTTTAGATGCAGTCAAGGCGGAGCATGCGCGCAAGGAGAGCCGCCGGGAGAAAGGTCTCAGGCGTACGCAATGAGATGTCTGCTCGGCCAGGGATGAAAGGTGTGGTGTTCGCTTGTATTTCCATCTGTGTGTTGGCGATGCGCGCAAAGTCTTGTAGCTGTTGTTGCTTTGGCCATACTGCCATCCAGGCCGTATTTGATGATATGAACAAAGGTCACAAGTCGCTCTGCGACCAGAAGCAGCAGGTAAAAAAGTGTGTGTAGTTCAGGGCTAGCGCCTGAGTGTCACATATCTGCTTTGCGCATGCAACATATGTCTGGCATGTCTTGCGTTTTTCACATCATGTTCAGCTGGCGCGGACGCCCGTGCGTATTCATTCATGATGTGGATGTGCTATGGAAGGGTGGATCCTGGGCTACTTGGCCGCTTCGTTCTTTTACTAGGTATATCCCTGCTACTTAATCTACTTGGCTGCCGCAAGCGGAGTGTTGGGCACCTCTGGCCGCTGCCTGCCTAATGAGGGCCTGGCCAGGTCGGGTGGGAACGGCACTGTTGAAGGAAGCGTCAGAATGAACCGTTGGTGTCGGTTCGTGCACCAACCTGTGTGTATGTCTTTGTGGCAGGATTTGGTCTGTGTAGAGCACGTCAGCATCCAAGCTGAAACAAACGCAAATGCCTGGTGAAACTAGCGCGCAATGGCGAAGGCGTGAAAGTAAATGCACATTTGTTCTCCCAGACAGCTGAACGCAATAGAGGTTCTCATTGTCAACGCTGCACGTTGCCCGCTTTGGCCCAGCCGAGCACGCTGGTCCGGTGGCGATTGAAGCATGACAGGTTCTGGCGTCGTAGGACCAATTGACGTCATGGGCCCGCAGGAATCTCCTAGCCAAGAGGCGAGTCTCAGACACAGTCTATTCTTAGACATGTCTGGGCTGGCTAAGTCTCAGACACGACAGGCAGGCCTGGCCAGGATTGTTGGCGCATTCTTGCTACCTGGGACCAGTAAACCTGGCAACCTGGCGTGAGGCGTGGTTTTGCCTGACTTGGCCGACAAAGTGCCAGGCGGGTTTGGCATGGCCAAGAATAGGAACGTGCGCACGGCTCAATGCACTTTGCTTGCAAGAAGCAACAGCAGCTCACGAATGGACGAAACTGAGCTCCGCTGCTTTGTGGTTGGCTGTTTGGCCAGTAACCCCTTCGGCAACATGCTTTGGCGAGGCAACGAAACAAATCGGACCTTTTCCGCGTAGCGCAGGACCAGCCAATTAGGCGATCCGAGAGACGCTAGTGGGAAGTCTTTTACCTTTCTCTGCATAATGCGCGTCTATGCAGAGATTTCCAATTCAAAGGAGCCAAAGTACCACAGGCGATTCGCCATACTTACCACGAAGGTAATAAGGTAATACGTAAAGCCTGTGCATGTTTCACGCGTCATCTCATCCATCCTACCGAGAGAATATTCGTGCAGTGTGTGCGTGTGTAGCGCGTTCTCTCGTTGATAATTTCAGGCCACACAGGCGACTAACGACACTTCAAATCCGGGAAGGAGTTTGCTCTCAGTTGGTTGGGTTAGAAAGAAAGCAAAAAACATGAGTTCCTTCCTTTGTCTCCTTTTGCACGAGACGGGTATGAAAAGACAGGTATCAGGGTCCGGTCCTGTCGTTTCGGGTGGTCCGCAGTCTTCTTTTCAGGCAAGCCCGAAAAGTGGTGACGGAAATGGAAATGGAGGGGGTGGTGGTGGTGGTTGCGTGGGTAGTGGTTGTGGGGAGGGGGGGGGGGGGTGGTGGTGGTGGTGATCATAGTTGGTGGGGGGGGGGGGGGTGGTGGTTCTAGCGAGGGAAAAGATGGTGGGGGGGGGGGGGGGGGTGGTGTTCGCGAGGGAGGTGGTGGGGGGGGGGGGGGGGGGGTGGTGGTTCTAGTGAGGGAAAAGATGGTGGGTGGGGGGGGGGGTGGTGGTTCTAGCGAAGGAAAAGATGTGCAGGGAGGGGGGGGGTGGTGGTTCTAGTGAAGGAAAAGATGTGCAGGGGGGGGGGGGTGGTGGTGGCGGCGAAGGGGCTGGGGTTAGACATTGAGGTGAGTCAAAGGTAAGAAGGGGGGGGGGGTGGTGGTGGTGACTGGAAGCAACGCAGCGAGAGGGGGGGGGGGGGGTGGTGGTGCTGACGCCTGACCTTCGTAGTGATCACGCCTGTTTTTAACTCTCCTATTTCTGAGCTCCAACAGAGTTGACCCCTGCAGAGTAGAGGCTCCAATGATGCTTGGGGGTGATTTTTCTGTCCGTTCCCCTTTGGCTTGGCACGTCCTTTCGCGCATTTGTTGTTTGTTGTTCTGGGTGCTACTCATATCTTTGGGTCGAAACCCATTGGACGGTCCCTGCACTGGAACATGGTGAACATGTTTGTTGGACATGATGTAGCTCCTTTTCCGAATATACCTAAACAAACTTTGGTTTCCCTTGACACCGCCATAGAGATCCTTTCGCAACGAGATGCTCTTGAGCCAAAGTGGAAACCAGATAGATTTTGAGACAAGCCCGTTTGCACAGTTGGCTTGCTTCACAGGTTTCAGATCGGGTGTGATCTCAGCCGTACCTGGACCCCCCAACTGCCCATAAAAAGATGGGAATTCACCCCAACATTTTGGGCAATCACCCGTTCTTTAATGGCATCTTGAGGTTCCAGGAATTTTCGCCCGGTTGAGTTTGGTGCGTTTGGTGCGTTTGGCGAGGGTTTGGGGTTGCGTTTTCTGGTTTCAGAGACGCCGCAGAGAGAGCGAGCCGATGCTTGGTGAGCGATTTGGAGCCTGCAGGTGCGAAGCAAACCTTCGAGAAGGCGCTGGGTGGCTCAGAGTTGCACACGCATGGGGTGGGGTGGGGTGGGGTGGGGTGGGGTGGGGTGGGGTGGGGTGGGGTGGGGTGGGGTGGGGTGGGGTGGGGTGGGCTGGGCTGGGCTGGGCTGGGCTGGGCTGGGCTGGGCTGGGCTGGGCTGGGCTGGGCTGGGCTGGGCTGGGCTGGGCTGGGCTGGGCTGGGCTGGGCTGGGCTGGGCTGGGCTGGGGTGGGGTGGGGTGGGGTGGAGTGGGGTGGGGTGGGGTGGGGTGGGGTGGGGTGGGGTGGGGTGGGGTGGGGTGGTTTCTTGCAAATGGAAGTAACGGACCAGCCCTTGAGAATGGAATTGGGGACCCCTGGAGATCTCCACTTATGGAATGGGGAAGAGTAAATGGAATGGGGGGGTTGCATTCGGAAGCTGAGGTTTTCAGCGGCATGAGTAGGGTGGGGATGTGATGGGGTGGGTGGGTGGGTGGGATGGGGGTGGCCGCCCCATGGTTTGGCAAGGTATCGGGCTGAGAGGCCCCTCGGTTTTCACGCTTCACCCGAAGCGAGGTTTGCTCTCAACCAAGAGCTTGTCAACTACGCGGATCTCTTTGGCCAAGTCAGATCAATGGCTGCAGATTCGGGCAGGAGATCTGGAGACTCAGGTAAAACGACAGCGACCTCACAAAGTATCGCCCAAGGTTTCACTGGCTTTTTTGTGGTGAATTGGTGTGAATCGATGTTACTCAGAAACCAGAACCATGTCCTGGGAAAGGTTTCGCCTACTGCTCCAAATTTGAGAGATGACTGGGTGGGTGGAATGGCAACCAAGCGGGGACCAAGCTGGGGCGGCCTCCACTCGTTTTGTGCTGGGTATCCCTGAATTACATGGCTGTCAGATCATTGGCACATTTGTTTCTACCAAAAGAACTGGCCGAAATTGTGTTGTTGTCTTTTTGGGCTTCCCTGAAAACAAAAAGCAAAAACCAAGGTACCCTCAAAAGAAGACGAGCCACCTAGATGGAGTTTAGATCAACTGCTGAAGAGGTCTTTCCACGGGGCTCGGAGTTTGGCCCACAAGGACCCCTGGCAAGTGGAAACACAGAGCTCAGTTGTGGCGACCTGGCTCAGGGTTTTCGACCCCCCCAACGTTTCTTTCTTGGATCAATTTCTTATTTCAGGTTCAGGTGGCTGACATGTCACATCCCGACCAGAAAATGAGTTCGACGGGTTCCAAGGCTTATCAAACTCGGACATTGGGGCCATTCTTAAGCCTATCACTTCTTCCCCTGCAACGCAACATGGACGTCAAAAAACGGGGTCCCCCAACCGGAGGTCTTTTCCAAGTATTGGTGTGCGTGCGTGTGCGTGCGTACAGTTGTTAAGGTTGATTCATAGGGAATTGAAAAGGAGTTGGACAACGAAAACAACTTTTTTGGGGGGTCGCGATCCCTTTCTTTCTTCCCACCTACCCATCAGCGCCTTGCCCGAGGTTCACTGGGGCCCGCGACGCCTAGTTCGCGAGTTCCATTCGGCGTACTGGATGGGAAGGCCGCGAGGGCCTATTTGGATGGGGTTTGCAGGTATGACTTTGTGTTCAGAACGGGGGCGGTGTTCAAATTCAGAAGGGGCGCACTTGGGGTCTGTTTTGAGGCATCCCCTTTTGGCAGGTTCTAAAGGGGTCAGCCCAAAGGACGCCATGTTTTGGGGATTCCGCCTAGTTCCGTGGGCCAGCGCACCGTGTGGTGAAAACCAACAGGAGGGGTCCAATTGGTCAACCCACAGGAGGGGTCCTCGCCCAATGGGATTTGCCTCGTCCCTGACATGGGAATTTGCCATTGGGTTCCTGTTGGCTTTGATTGAAAGCAACCACAGAGGATCCGTCAACACATGCCACACCAGTATGTCGCTTTTCAGGTAGCGTAACCATCGTAGCGATGGTTCATGTTGAGTGCCTCACGGTGGGACAAGCCGGAAAACTATTTGTTGGATGATGTAGAAGAAGGAAGAGCTACTGTGGATGGACGAAATCCTGCACCACTTTGAAACCATGAGAAACCTTTGTTTGTTGGCATTTACCAGGGAATCATCAGAAACCAGGCTTTCTTAGGTGGTGCCTAGGGATTTTGTCCATCCACAGTACTGACCCTGCAAGGATCCCGAATTTCCTTCTTTGCCTGGCCTTCCCATCCACCTGGAGTCTCCATGACCCTTCAAAAATGGGGTCATTACCCAAAATACAGGGGTCATGGACCTATGTTTAAAGGGCCACGGAGACTCCAGGCACTGATTGATTAATGATTCGCAGCGTCCTCTGCGCTTTGGTTTTGCGCGGGCAGAATCAGGGCCTCGAATCGCAGCGATGAGCAAATGTGCTTTTCGGGGCTTGACTTCTTCCTCGGGATCTCAGCTGTTCAGTGGCACCAATTATTTTTCCCTTTTTTTTTGGTGGCTGCCCCACCTAGAATGGTCCAAGCCCCAAAAAGGGTTCCCTTTTTTTCCAGGGTCACTAAATCACTGAGGAGAAAAGACGATGCCATCAGAGCCAGAGATAAGAAATGCCACAGCCCTGCGCACATTGCGGAACAACTGAGGGATGGTCCATGTAACAACTTTGCTTGCGTTTTCCTCTCGCGAGCTGACGGATTCGAGGCAGGGGGTTCCCTATCTTTGCTGTGTGAACTGTAAGTGCCGAGATCAACTTGGGTCATGCGTGTTTTGAGGGTACCATTATGTGGCTTTAAGGAAACTCAGTTGTTCAAAGCCGACCTTTTGACCTTTCGGTTTTCCAATGTTCTTGGTCTATTTTTAGTCATGGCCCCAAAAGGTTAACCTTTTAGTTCCAGGTCCTTTGGGCAACTGAGGAAAAGCTAAACGGTAAGCCACATGTTTGTAGGGCTCCATTTCAAAAATCACCGCTTTTGCTGTGGCAAAGCGGTCAAGCCCCGGGCGTCTGGCGCCTTGAGTTCTCTTTTTTTGCCGGCCATCTCTGGGTGAGTTGCACGCCCTATTCGTAATTGCTGGTAGTCCATATGGTTCATCTGGGAGGGACCTGAGGGAGACACGATTTTCCCTCAAACATCAGAGGACTCACACAATGTCCTGCGTCCTCTCGGGGGAACGCTCATCATTTTTAAGGTGAAGCAGCATGTTAACATTGGCTGGCTTGGGGTTGGGTTCAGCTTGGTTTAGGATTGACTGGCTTAGTGGTCTAGGGGTTGGTTCATGGCTGGTGTAGGCTTGTTTAGGCTGTTAGGATTGGTTTAGGGCTGGCTTAGGTGTTTAGAAGCTTGGATTAGGTGGGTTTCGGGTGTGGTGTAGTGCGGGTGGGTTTGGGGGTTATTTGAGATTGGTTTACGGTTGGTTTAAAGCTGGGTTAGGTGGGCCAGGCAGGTTGGTCAAGGTGGTTGCAGCGATACTTTAGACAGGTTTAGGGTAACTTTGGAGGCTGCTTAGGATTGGTCTAGGTGGTGTCGGCGTGTCAGGGGTATGAGGCTAGTTCCTTGTCGGTCTTGGGGCGCTGGCTTGCTGGGGTGGGGTGCGGGTGAAGGGCCATAGGATTCGGGTGGGGTCTGCTGGGTACAACCAAAGCTATGGCTCTGGACGCGCAAGGCTTCTTGGACCCGCGACATCTTGGGGCCCCCGGACCTGGATGCCATGTACTACATGCGAGATATGCAATAGATATACATATACACATATATATGGGGGCATCCCCGAAAGGCAGCAACATGTAACCAGGGTCCACGGAAAGGGGGGGGTGCATGTGGTACCCCCCCCCCCTCCCCAAATATGTATGTATATACGTATATGCAGATATGCATGTATACACACGTATACATATATATATATATTGAATGATTGTACACGTACATACATGTACTCAATGCTACCAACAACAGCGCTTGTGAAAAGAAAGATGGTGAGCGTATGGGTGACGAACCTCAGGAGTTGAAAAGGACACACTTCCAAAGCACCTTGCCTTGTCAGAGTTTCATCAAGACCTCCAAGACCTCTGGGTATAGGGACCAAATCTGCCGAGATGTTTCCGACGTCACGGATCCTTTCCTCTAGAGTTATGTTTTCAGAAACTGGTGAAGCTCTTTTGGTGTTTGAAGGGACACCCGAAAAGAGAGAGGCAATTGTTTTGTTTGCCACCCGATAGGAGAAACATGAGCGTCCCGTCCTTCCGTTCCGGTATGTTCCAGAACCCTCTTCATTAGGCTAACATGGAAGAGGGTTTGCAAACGGCTAGCTTGTTCAAAGCCTAATCCCCACTGATTCGTGGATTGCGGATGATGCGGTTTTACGGATTCGATTGTGCGGTTTGCGGACTACGGATTATGGTTTGCATGGATTTGCCATGCTCCAACATGCGGTTTTGACCCACAGATTGCATCTCGAATTACGGATTAAGAAGATTGCCACCCAGAAATAGAATTTGGCGGATTGCGGACTTTATTTAGGCCCCCAGGATTTCGGACGCGCTAGAATGGGACAAGACCAATGGGAAATGGGAAACGCCAATGGGATTCCCACAAGAACTAGAAAGGCTACTACGAAGGGCGGCTACAATTCACCCAGAAAGTGCCACCAGTTATCTTTATTCTGTCGCTTGGCAAAGCCAAGCAACAGGCCATCTGGCGGTAGGTCGAGTGAGCTTTGGGCTTGCAGTCTGCTCCGGCGGATGCCAGCCTCGGCGTCACGCTTAGACAAAGCGCATGCCAAGTTTGGTCTATCTTTGCAATCTTGGTGGCTCCCAGCCGTCCCCTTAGCTTTTTAGCTTTTTAGGGTGTGGTTGGGTTTCCATCTAAACCGCGCAACAGTTTGTCACTTCTAGCAGGGGATCAGAAAACGGACAGCCCGGCAGTGAGGGGAACCAGGCCCCGACCCACCAAAGAGGTTCCCAGAACGGGTGGGGGCCCTTGGGTTTTGTCCCTAAAGGCTGCGAAGTTGTCCTGTTATGGTCCTTTGGACTGAAAAAGAAGACGTAGCGTTCACCATGAGCTGTGGTTGAGTCACTCGCGATGTTCAGAGAATCAGCCGTATGAGATGTGTGGCCAGGTTGACCCCCAAAAATTGTTTAGTGGAAGAGGGAAGATGTGGTAGCATGCCGTAGATTTGCTTAGTGACCGGGATTCGCTATTCAAGCGATGGATGGACTTTACGACCAACCCATGTGCTAGTGGTTGGAGGGATGACCCAATGTCACGGGAAACCCCTTTTTTGGATGGTGCTTGTATGTGCTGGTATTGGAAGCCATAAGGGGTTGGACATGAATCCCGACATAAATGATAGCCACTAAAGGATCCCCTCATTTGATTTAATGCAGATATGTTCAGTCCAACACCAATCCGGACGCCCACCGCACTGCTCTTTCTGACTGTTGATGCGCCCAAAGGTCGGGAGGTTGCTTGGAAGGATTGGACAGTTGCACAAGCAGAGTTTTCACCATGGCCACCCGCGTACTTTGAAACAACATGATCCATGGGACCCAAGGCTGAAATGCCCTTTGGTCGACCTGCCAAAGAAACGCTTCCAGGCGGGCTTGTCCAAAGATCCACAAGACCCAAGTGACCCAAATGCCCTTTGCTCGACCCAAAGAAACGCTTCCAGGCGGGGCTTGTCCAAATTTGCCATCGTTGAAGAACGACCTAGCAGTCCGCATGGCTGCAAGAGGCCGTCTTTCTGTTGGCCGGTTTGCTTCGGCCACAGCTTCCAGTCCCGCAGGGGGTTTTTTGGTCCTCCAGGGACATGGCTCGGTTGGTCAGCTGCCGCTGTATCGTCTTTTCTTGCGAGCCTAAGGGCCTAACTTGTTGGGCCTTGGGAATCTTTGCGGGGTGAGGTTGAACAGGATCTGCTTGTGGTTCCTGGTTTGCCCGCTGAAGCCCCCCTAGGTGAATGAGGAATGTTTTCAGCCGCCTGAATTCCGATTTGCTCGAGTCCCGGATGCCTGTGGTGCTTTTGGGGGATTCGGCGATTTGTGCCACAGCCACAATTTGCATGCCCAACAGCAAGCCGGGGCAATACATCACATGCAATTCTTTGGCAAAATACACTTTGTTTTCGCACTAGGCTAAAAACACCAAGCGAGGTTCACTTGGCCATAAGCGACAGCTGCTATGTGCACTAGACATTTTTGCAACAGATGCTGCATGGCGGCCGCATAGCTCATGCCAATTCTCACGTCGAGGCGGGAAGGCTGTGGCTAAAGTTGGTTGTTTTGAAGGCTAATATTGAGCAGTGGGGAGACGTTCTTTTCGGATGATTTAGACATCACCTGTTGGGTCCTTTCAAAGCGAGAATCCTTTGGGTTGGGGTGGTATTGAAACGGGGCATCTCAGGAACCCTGTGCAGGGGAAAGGGTTCTGACTGAGAATATGCATTGTTTGTAGTTTTATATGAAGCAGCTGGAAGATGAGCATCGACCTCTTGCGAGGCAGACAATCTACCGGATGGATGCGTCCTATGGTTTTTCCTGTTGGAAGGGTGTTTCAGGAGCATTGAGACACCAGGTTGAAGGCACGCGGGGGTTGAGAGCTCACGTATTTAGGGTTTCGCAAGGACATCATCGCGTACTTATCTCCAAGCTAGGGTAGATAATTGATCTTTGGTAGAGCTAATGGAAGCTCGCTTCGAACATCTTGGAGGCTTGGAGTCTTTTGCCAAGTTGAATGTATTTCCCCAACAGCTGAAAGCGATGGGGGTCTGCCCCCAGATAGGCACTCGGGTGGTTTGGTGCAGCTTTCAGGGAGGGTTCAAAAGGGTTCCAAGGGGTTCTGGGGCTGTTGGGGATACCACCTGGGCTTATTTCTACCCTTACTTACGGTCGAAGTGGTCGGACAAGAGCAACCATCAAACCCCGATGCAGGACTTGAGGTAAGCGGCAAGCAGCGCAACGCCATGTCCGGCAACGCGACGCTGCGTTGGGGCAGACCGAGACTCGCCTCGGCTTCCTCGTCTAGGTCCCCCAGCTAGGTGCCCTGCTTTTTTGCCCCTTTTTTGGGGGAGGGCTCACCTACTAAAATAGACTACAGAAAAAAGTTACCCTTATTCTAACCTCTCTACTGGAGGACCTAGTCGGAGTAATGTGAGTCGCCGTGATTTGAAGTCGCCTTGTGGTCGATGGGAGTCCAGACTCGCGAAATTATCCAAGGAAAGGGGTGCTCGATTAATTCCCAGGATGGTGCTTTGTTTGGATGAAGTAGTTCCCCCTGGTTTTGTCAGCAGGTAGATGACAAGTTGGTAAGTGCAAATGTTGCACCCCCAGGTTTGGGATAAACATATCCTTGAGCCAATGCTACGCGCTTGCTGACTTACTCACACCGGTGATGTCCATGTCGCTTCGCTGTCGGACACATTGGTCAACTGTGCTTGTGGGTCACTCATGGTCAAGCGGGGGATAATTTAGGTGACGGTGTATTTCGGCTGTTGGATTTTAAGGGGTAATTACTGGAAGCCATGTTATTCAAGTAAGTGCAGATTAACATAGCTCTCTTCTGTACGTATTGATGTGTTGGTGCATTACATATGAGAAAGAAAGCAAACAACTAATATGTTACATATCTTAGAACACAACCAACACTCAACAAACACAACAATCACCAACTACTTGGAGGCTCCGGCCCTTTAACACATGGGGTCATGACCCATTTAGTTTGGGTAATGACCAACCATTTCTTAAGGCTCAGAATGAAACTCCAGGTATTTGTTTGCTTCCAAAGTCTTGGGAGCTTTTAGGCAAATCTGGGACTGCACGCAAACCTTCCATGTTCGCCTGAGGGACTGCAGCAAGAAAAATGGGACACCCTGCAAGCAAACAGGGAAACACTACTGTGGATGGACGAATTCCTGCACCACCCAAGAATCTCTGGGAGAACGATTGCCCTGTAAATGCCCACAAACGTTCTGGTTTCATTCCCACGGTTTCATTTCGTGGTGCCTAAGAGGATTTCGCAACCGTCCACAGTATGTGAGGGTATCCCCAGCTGAGGCAAGAAAAATGGGACACCCTGCAAGCAAACAGGTAAACACTGTGTGGTATCCCCAGCCATGGCGACTCCAACGACCGGGGGCCAGCGTCAACCGGCCTCAGGAAGAACGCCTCGGCGCCGCCCTGGCGGGCCATGCAAGCAGCTCGCCAGGCAAAGCAGGCGAGGCGTTGCGTGGGTGTCGAAGGGTCGCAGGGTCGGTCGAATGGATTCTGGCTTTAACATACCCTAGAAAGAAAGCCAAGGTGCGATCCCTTTTTTTTCAGTCACTGTTGCTGGTTTTTTGGGTAAATTGCATGGAAAAAAACGATCGCAACTGGCGATCCAGGTGGAGTCTCCTTCTGAGCTTTTTGAAATGACGTTGGTTTCATTACCCAAAATAGAGATTCGGTTCGGGTCACCAACCATTTTTCATTCGGGTCAGAAGGAGAGTCCCGGTGGGGGGGGGGGGGTCTGTGGCTAGAGGCTATACCGATACCCTCTCGATGGAGGTTGAAAGGGGCTGAAATGTACCCTCCCACCAATTAACATGGAACATGACGTTCGGGAAATGGTCCCTTTAAAAGGATAATTGTCCAAACCAGGGCCCACCGAACGTCAGGTTCCATAGCAGGTAACTAGGCGAAACCATCCATTAAAGGCCTGGAGGAACCCAAACACCTGCTAGTGGTAATTGGCAGCGCTGGGACCAGATACCATTGTTGCAAGTCCCTCCGGTGGGCTTATCGGGGCAACCATGTAGGGGAGGTGACCTGCTCCTGCTGCTGGTGTTGATGTTTGTTATGGTGTTAAAGGCATTGGCGCTTCTGTCTAAATAGCCATCCTACAATTATTTGGGCAGCTGTGTGTTGCCTGTTTTGTTGAAAGCGTGCGACGGCCCTTGTTGTTCTTCTAAAGGTTAGTTGCCCCTTTTGTTCAGACGTCGTTCTATCGAGCAGCAGCAAAGATTGCTTGGATCATCGGCCATTCAAAAAGTTTCAAGAATTGTCGGCACGTACAATTGCAATTCGGTTTCTTGTGCTAGGCAGAGCCGCCATCGCCGGTGCAGTCACCACCAGCGCCTGCGCCTGCGCAACCGGCGCCTGCGCAACCGGCGCCAGTGCAACCGGCGCCAGCGCAACCGGCGCCAGTGCAACCGGCGCCAGCGCAACCGGCGCCAGCGCAACCGGCGCCAGCGCAACCAGCGCCAGTGCAACCGGCGCCAGCGGCGCCAGCGGCGCCAGCGCCAGCGCCAGCGCTGCCAGCGGCGCCGCCACAGGCAGAGGCCGGACGTCAGCTCGGAGTTTTTTTTTGAAAGAGATAGTTTGGCTGTTTGTTTCTTCCCTGCGGTGCGATGCCCACAATTTCGGGGGCAACTAATTATACATATATATATATATACATACGCCTGGAGTCTCCGTGAGTCGCAGCAATTTGTGTCATGACCCCTTTATTTTGGGTCATGTCCCGATTTTTGAAGGGTCATGGAGACTCCAGGTGTATGTGTATATACATATATATATATATATATGTATATATATATATATTGTCAGTTTGAGGGCTCAGGTCTCAAAAGCACGACACGCCCGCTTTTTTTAAGCAACTTTTCATGGACTCCGTCGCACCTTACAAAGCAGCGAGCCAGGAGACACCTCCGTGGCGTCGCCGCAAGGAGCCGATGCGATGCCGATCCGCTCCCAGCCATCCGCTTCCTTTAGTTCGGTTGTTTCTACCCAACAGCTTGACTGCTATTGGGCAACGGATCTTTAGACTTTAACTTTTTCGGGAGTCAAGTGGTTTTCCACTAAACCCACAAAAAGTCAATAGCTTTTTGCAGAGGGGTCAACAGCAACCAAGACAGTTAGCGACTTTTGGCAGGGGATGGCCATACTGTAGATGGTTGCGAGAACATCTTGCCTTTTTAAGTTGGTTTGGATGGAAATAGTGTGGCAAAGTTGGTTTGGCTAAGCGTGGTTTTTTGGGCTAGTTTGGTTAGGATTGCCAGAAAGCGGTCGGTGTATTTAAGTTGCCCTCCCTCCCACATTGCCATGGCACCTAACACTGGGTCCCTTGAGGAAATTGATCTTCCAGGTGCCCTCCCACAAATGCTATGTTAGTGGGAGCAGGGGTAGTGTGGGTAGAAATAGGGTAAGCTAGGTTAATTTAGCTTGGTTAGCTGTTTTGTTCAGTTTGCTTGGCACTGGGTTTATATTGGTGTCATTCCATGCACCAGGGACACCCATATAATTTTTCTTCCACAAAATTATCTTTGAAAGTCTTCCGGTCCTCCGGTTTGCCAGGCGATTCCAGCCCGCTTGCATGTCCTTTTGCGGCCGGGAGGGACTATTCTTCAAATGAGCCTCAATCAAAACCCGGGTAGATGAAGGTTAGTAAGGGACAATCCCAGCCATAAATAGGTGCGGCCGCCTTTTCAATTCCTTACATGTTTCTGGGTTCACCATTTTTGTACCAGGTTTTGATTTTGACTCAAATGGGGTGAGGTATCTTTTGCCCTGTGGATCCCAGGAATTCGTTTCGCCACTAGTAACTGGGTTCCCGGCAAACCGTGGGACATGGAATCACTGGCTTGAAGAACAACGCCATGGCACACCCACTCCGGGAGCTGAGTGAAGGAAAATAGCAATAGAAGTCCACCGGCCGTGGGTCTTGTCACAAAGGGGGTTGGGTAGAACTAGCTGGGTGCGCGTCAAACTAGCTGGGTGCGCGTCAAGACTCAAGACTGTGGGCCATTACGAGTTTGAACATCAAGAGGAACCCAACCACTTGGTTTGCCTGCTAGTTTCGCACATCATGCCGCTTTTGGCATTTCCATTCCGAACTCTGTCTTCCAGGCCATGCATGTTCGGACCCCGATGATCTGATCGCCCGTTCCGAACCGTGTCCAAAAGGACAGGCAGAAATCCTTGAGTTTGAAGACAGCTGTAAGGATTCGTCTCAAAAAAAAACACGACCATGACGTGCCCCGGGCCAAGTTGCCCTTGAGGATGGTTTTGCGGGTTTTGAAGCGGATAAAGTACAGTTCTCCTTGGGGCATGTGGGTATGTGTCGATTGGGGTAGTTCCCAAATTCCTCTCAAACCAATCCCCCCCAACAAAATGGTAAACCTACTACCCACATGGTGGTCGCCAGTTGATTTCCCTTTGTCTTTAACCTTCAAAGGGTTCCCTCGAAAGCAACTTAGCCCTGGGGTTCAAACCACCATTTAAAACAAAGGGGGTTAGTACACCATGATTTACCTAACAAGTTTCATCATCCAAAATTTTGTCAGCCATTCTTTGAATGGGGGACCGAACCATAGCCCAGAGGGTCCTAAGTACCACATAGTTAAGGATGTTAAGGCTTTGGCCTTGATTCAAGGGGATTCGTCAGTTACAGATTCCTCAAATGGCTGTGGCTCAAACAACCGGAATTCCAAAATGGCGCAAGCCCTGGTAAGTGAAAACATGGACCGAAACCCGCGGTTTGCCCCCCTGCTTAATTTTGAGCCACACCCAAATCCGTAAATATGAGGTACTTCAGTCCCACCCGGGCGCCGGGCCCGCTCGAGTCTTGGGCCACAAGCCAGTCGCGCGGCGAGCCAGGAGATGCGCTCCGAGAACCAGGCGATGGCTGTGGTTCCTACTGCTCAGTTCAGTGGCACCGTAAAGTGGCCAGAGGCCCAAAAGGTGATGTTTGGTTTCCCCTTTTGGTCCATTTTTAGTCCCAGCAGGTTAACCTTGTTTTTCTGGGTCCTTTGCCCAACTCAGTTCTTCAGTGGCACCAATTCATTTTCCCGTTTTTTTGGTGACTGCCCCACTAAAAATGGCCCAAGCCCCAAAAAAGGCTTCCAATCCTTTTTTTCCAGGGTCACTGACGAGGAAACTATGCTTCTTGGTGGTTCCCAGCCATGCGGTTCCTTAGCTTCTTAGCCTTTAAGTGTTTAGTGGGGATGTCCATTTAACCCACTAAAAGTCAACTCAGTTGTTCAGTGGCACCCTTCTTCCCACTTTTTCTTGGTGGCTGCCCCACTAAAAATGGTCTTCCCCAAAAAGGGTTCCGTATTTTTTTCAGGTTCACTGCACAACTGAGTTAAACTTTCAGCGGGGGATCTGAGGACAGCCCAGGCTTGAAACCCATAACATTCGTTGGTATTTACAGGGGAATCATCAGAGATCAGGGTTGCTTAGGTGGTGCAAAATGGTTTTCGTCCATCTACGGTATGTGTGTGTGTGTTTTTGAAGATGCTCTTTTTGGGGGTGTTTTTTTTTGAGGGTCTTTGGGGTCCCCCCATGTTGACTTCCCTTGTCGGGTGAATTCAACGTCACCTCTGAAAGCTCCTTGAAAAAGAGCTGTCATTCCTGTTTAACGTGGACGCAGATTTGAAAGGTTGCTGCAACCTCACACAGGAATTCGGCGGACCTTGACTTCGGAGGTTCCTTGCTTGGTCTCTTATTTCAGATTGAACCAGTGTTTTTCATTTGCTTACAGCCGGTTTCTCTCTGAATTGGTCCAGATTTAGTCAAGGTTCCAACAGCACCTTGTATTCCCAGATCTTTTGGGCCAGTGAGTTATTCTAAATCCCCCAGTAGTGCCCTTTCTCACCCTTTTTTGGTTGGGAGGGTTCCCCTACTAAAATAGACTACAGAAAAAGTTGGTACCCTTATTCTAACCTCTCTACTGGAGGACCTAGTTCAGCTGATGCTGGGGTGTCGTGGGGTCTGAGACTGGACCTGGCGGGCTCCCAAAGGGGGCCCGCGACAACCAGAATGTGAATCCAAGATGAATCCCCGATGCTGTTTTGTTTCTTCTACATGGCAAAGCTTGGAAATGTAGGTAGATGGAAATCAGGGAAGCTGGCTGTTTGGCGATTGAATGAAGTGTGAGACGAATGCCCGGGCCTTGTGCCATAAAGCAACAGGATCTGATTGCATGTGAGGCAGCAAAACAGAAACAGGGGGTGGAGCATCTTTGCGTCGGCATGAGCAACCTTCTTGAAGCGGGTGACCCTACAGCCGTGATATTTGTTTTTGCAGAGTGAGTGGGAGGATCTGTTGCTTCAGCACGGCTCCATATGCAATTCATACCTTCACCACCTGGCTGCCTGATGCAAACTCTGCGCACAGAGCTCTCTCGGTCCAGGTGAAAGCACCTCTGCTTGATCACTGTCTACCCTGATTTGGCTGTGAACCGGTGCACGATGTTTACTTTTTTTTGCCGCAACAACGTCTCCGAATGTTTTCGAGAGGTCTCCACATTCATCTTGAGACTCCTCAGTTGTTCCGTGGCACCCTTTTTCCCCTTTTTTTGGGTGGCTGCCCCACTAAAGATGGTCTTCCCCAAAAAGGGTTCCTTTTTTTCCAATGTCACTGAACAACTGAGACTCCAAACGCCACTTTGCATTGCCGGACTCAGCTTTCTTTCACTGGCGTCATGATTTTGATTGTTTCGGGGGCTTATCAACGTCAGAGAGAGGGGTGGTTCCCTTAAACCCACCACTGAACGGGGGTGACTTTGATGCTGTGGATGGACAACATTCTGCACCTCTTTGAAGCCGTGAGACACCATTGTTTGTTGGTATTTACAGGGGAATATCATTCCGGGGTTTCTTAGGCCTTAGGCGGTGCGAAATGGATTTCGTCCATGCACAGTAGTGGTGAAATGATTGGGCTTGATCCAACCACAAAACAGTCAACTTTCAATGTCTAAGCCTGGCCCAGCGAAGTGGCTTGATTCTTTCCCAAGGAGCGGCTACACTTGACCCACCCAATTACTGTGACATATTGATGTATGTGTGCACACCTGTCATACATGTTCTAGTTGCTACGTGTATATATATATATATATTAATATGTATACATCTATGGATATATATATATAATTATTTATATATATATATATCATTATATATATATGTATATATACACATCGGTGCATTTTTGGTATTTCCCAGACCCCCCTTTGTCCCGCGCTTCTTTCCACCGCCGGGGGTGGCCGTCGATCTTCTCTCCGCAGGCCGACTCCGAAGTTTCGGCTTCGGCGCCGGGGGTTGAGGCCGACCGCTCGAAACGCGCGGGGAGGTCCTTGACTTTGGAATCCAAGCGTATGCAATACTACTGTGGATGGACAAAATCCTACACCTAAGAATCCTATTCAAAGTGGTGCGAAATGGATTTCGTCCATCCACGGTAGGTCCCCCAGTATTGGGGGAGGGTTGCAATACTGTGGATGGACCAAATCCTCCGATCAGAACTCCTAGAAGGATTCGATTCCCCAACGTAAATACCAGCAAAGAAAGTTTCAACCATGGTTTCGAAGTGCTGCGAAATGGATTTCGTCCATCCACGGTAGGTCCCCCAGTATTGGGGGAGGGTTCCCCTACTAAAATAGACTACAGAAAAAAAGGGTACCCTTAGTCGAACCTCTCTACTGGAGGACCTACATATCACAAGAACACCCTCCAAATTTTGGTGATGAGCCGTTTAGGATGTGTGATTCCCTAAAAGAAAAGCGTTGCGCATGGGCGTGAAATCCATTTCGCACAAAAAAATGAAACCATGGTTGAAACATGTTGAAACCATTGTTTGGTGGTATTTACATGGGGAATCATAATTCCAGGGTTTCTCAGGTGGTGCGAAATGGACCACCCACATAATGTACGCACAAGAATACCCTCCAAATGGGTCAGTTATGTTGGTATATGTTACCTACAGTTGGATTGTTTGGGAGGGATGGTTTCCCCTTGCCTACTTTCGGGTTGGAACCATTTTAAGTTGTGGTGAAATCGAATCCCACACCCAGAGAGTGCCCTACCCATTTTTGGAGTGCCCTCTTTTTGTTCCCAGTGCTTCTAGTCCAGCCACTATAGGGAGAAACCATCGTGTAAAGCCTGAAGGTAAGGACCCTGGTTGCCCATAGCAACTGGAAACACTGGGCTTAGGTACTTTTTGGGCTTGTATCGTTTCGTGGTCAATGACAAGTTTTGTTTTTTTTGGTGGGGGCCCACCCACTCAGGAAGTGAACCTAATTGACATATAGTGACTTTTCATTTGGTTTCCTTCTCAACCACTCAGCCAACCTCCGAAACAAGTCACCCGTATTGGGGCCATCCACGTGGTTGTGGGAAACAAAGTTCTAGGGCCACTTTACGATACTATGGGAACCCTGAATTGAAGAGATAGTAGTAGTCATGCGGGTGACCACTTTAGTATCACAACAATTAATTTCTGTTTGAGTTGGAAGGCAAACTCGCCGTTGGTGCAGGTGCAGCTAAGACTTCCCTCAGTTGTTCAGTGGCACCCTTTTTCCTCTTTTTTTTGGTGGCTGCCCCACTAAAGATGGTCTTCCCCAAAAAGGGTTCCCTTTTTTCCAGGGTCACTGAACAACTGAGTTCCTGGTGGTTGTGAAGGAAGTTCTGAGGGCTCGCCCCACCCCGAATCCGCGGGCTGACGGGTTCGAATTCGCCAGGATGCGCAGAAGGAGATGAGCCAACAGAAGGCTCGAAGCGAATCGAACCTTACTTGAGCCGGGTAGATGAAGGTTGGGAAGGGACGATCCCAGCCATAAATAGCTGCGGCCGCCTTCTTAATTCCTTACATGATTTCGGGTAGACCATTTTAGTACCGGGTTTTGAGCAAGTGACTCACTTGCTCTTTGGGTTCTTTTACCTACCCTCCATTCCCACGTTGCCCATGGCACCTGACAGAGGGTCCCTTGAGGACATGAGCTTTTGCAGGTACCCTCCCACAGATGCCTTCTGTTGGAGGAAGGGCACTGGTAGGATAGAATGTTTGCAGTTTGCCAAACCCGTTGTTAAATGGTTTAAGTGACCTCCCTTGGGCCTTGGGAACCTATTTAAGACAAGAGCTGGGTGCAACATACTATAGATGGACAAAATCCGTTCGCACCACTTCGAAACCATGGTTGAAACCATTCTTTGTTGGTATTTACAGGGGAATCATCAGAGACCCTGCCGGGTTTCTGAACGGTGGTGTCTGAAAGCATTCGTCCATCAGGATTAGTCTCCCAAAAGGAAGCTGGTGGTTCAAAGGCAAGCCACCAAAGGGCTTCCTGAGTTCATGGACTTGAAACTTTTTGGGAAGACCATTTGAGCGGAAAACATTTGTTTTTTACTTGTCTGGGAACATCCACTTGGGAAGTGAGTAGGTAACCCTTCGATCCATGTTCCCTTTGGGGGGATTCCCTTGGTTACCTACAGGGAAATGGAACCACTGGAGAAGCCACAAGGGAATATATGTTCCATGTTTTCCTGTTCACGCCGACTTTCAGCTCCGGTCGGATGTCCGAACGGTTGACCTGGTGAATGCCCCTTTCGGTTGTGTTTCAAAGAGAAGCTCGCCAGTTTTATGTTGTTTTGCTGGTTCCAGAAGGCGCAGTTTGAGATATAGAGACCCACACATTGCCCTACGGGGGAAGTTACCAACCACGGTTTTAGACTCATTTTAGAGTGCAATAACCGCATGTTTATGGTTTCAGGATGTTTTTTAGAGTGCAAGTACCGGATTTGTTTATGGGAGTTTAGACTCATGTTAGGGTGCAATAGCCACATGTTTTTTGGTTTCAGGATGCTTTTAGAGTGCAAGTACCGGATTTGTTTATGGGAGTTTAGACTCATGCTAGGGTGCAATCGCCACATGTTTTATGGCTTCAGGAAGGTTTTAGAGTGCACTAGCCACATGTTTGATGGTTTGCAGATCCAGGTGCCGAGCTTTTGTCCGGGTTAGGTGACGGGTCAAAGACCACTGAAACAAAACCACCCGTCCGCTTCGAGAGGAAGCGCTGTCAGAAGCTTCGGGGGCGCGGTTCGCGTTTTGGGCAAATGCAGAGGCGTGTACTGCGGATGGACAAATTCCTGCACCAGCTGGGAATGAAACATCATGAATCCCTTTTCCACTATGCTGGTGGCTTTCAGTTTCTTTGCAGCCCGTGTGTTTGTGTGCGCGTGTCTGCGTGTTTGTGTGTCTGTGTATCTGTGTATTTGTGTGTGTGCGTTTGTCATACTCTTTGTTGGGGTTGGTTTACGTGAAGCCAAAGGCAAACTAAAGGGACACCAAACGGAAGCCACCTTTTCGGGAGTCACTCCATCTTTGTCATCGAGGGTACCCCTTTTAGGTTAGTTTAAAAGACATCGAAAGGAAAACCACCTTTGGCCATTTTGACACGCACCCGGACAAAGAAAAAACAACATGTATGAACATGGTCCATTCAAACTTTGCCTCGGCACAGCTCTCTTGCCAGGAGCTGGAAGCAAAGGAAGCGAAGCCAACAGATTCTTCTCGCCGCGTCACTCAGAACTCCACGAGTCGGAACCCCCCCCCCAAAAAAAAAACAGCAACAATTTGCCAAAGGGTTCCCCATACTGTGGATGTACGAACTCCATTGCGCACCACCTGAGAAACCCTGCAGGGTCTCTGATGGTTTCCCTGTAAATACCAACAAGCCATGTGGTTTCAACCATGGTTTCAAAGTGGTGCAAAATGTGGTCCATCCACAGTATGACTCCATCCAATAAGGAACCTTCATGGTTTCGTGGTGCGAAATGGATTTTCTAACCATCCACTGTATGCTCACGGGTGTCTCTTATTCTCAGTTGTTCAGGCGCACCCTTTTTCCTTTTTTTTGGTGGCTGCCCCACTAAAATGGTCTTCCCCAAAAGGGTTCCAATTCTTTTTTTCTCCAGGGTCACTGAACAACTGAGTATTGGCCCACGCCGAACCGAGGAGTCTTCGCCATTGGCGAAAAGGTCCGCTACTGGAGTGGGACCCACGCCAAATGGGCCGAGCACTCGGACCATGCCTTACTCGGGAAAGCCGAGTTAAGTGTATGTGGGTGTGTGGTGTTTTGAGGGACACCATTTTGTGTTGTGGTTTGCAAGGGGAACCAAAGGAAACACCGCCATTTGAAAATTATGCCTCAAAAAGGACGAGCGATTCATGTGAAACCGTCTAAAACGGGACTCCCTTTCAGCGTGAACCTCAGCCTTGAGTGTTGGCTTCATTGGTTTTGATACCGAGAGCTCGGGGCCGGCGGGCCCGGAACATCTCCGTTTCCACCTGGATGTGCCGTTAGGAAGCCCCCATTTTGGCGGGTGTTAAAGGGCTGCCAAAAGGAAACTCGTCATTTGGGGGGGGGGGAGCTGGGAGGGGGAGCTGGTGTGGGAATCCAGAAGGCAACCCATCATTTGGGTGGGGGGGGGGCCACAAAAAAGAGAGAGACGCCCAGCTGTCGTTTTTGTGGTTTCAAAGCATCGGTGGGCTTTTTGGCATTTGGGGCCGGACGTGCATGTTTTAAGGAGGCCAGGCTCTTGTTGGGAAGGCTAAAGGGGCAAAAGCATAAGTTTGACACATGCCAAACACTCAGACGGTAGGTAACATGTGCCGTTACATAGCGGATCCATTTAGAGTTGGCAAATGTGGGTGTATTTTACCTACAGCCAGGCCATGCCCCCCCCCCCCCCCACAGGGTTTGGCTGTTTTTCAGCGACTCTCAGGTCGACGCACATGTGCAGCGCATCAACTTGGGCCCTGCGGGTGATCTCATCTCCTATGACCTCAGCGCCAAAGCACAGGCACGTTTGTTTTTCTTTTTTTTTGTTCCTTTTTTTCTGCTCGCGCGGGCGCGAAATCGATTTCGCGGGCGATTCCGATGTCGCCATTTCGATGTCAAACTCGAACTCTTCGACACCAAGGGACCTCCCCCCCAAATCAAGCGGAAAATGGATCGAAGGGTTACCTACTATCCCACCTAATCCATGTATTAGTTAATCACATTTACCTTTATGGGTCAGTTCTGTTAGGTCAAAATTCAACCAGAGCGCAGGTTTTAGTCCCATGTTCTATTGCGGCTTCCCGATATTGGCTCTCAACGGAGTCATTGTCCATACAGAAGTTGGGCCCTCTATAGCTGAAAGTAGCATATGTTTATTCTCTCGTGGCCGCTCTTTTGCAACAAATGTGTCATGATTCGCTTTCAAACCGTCCCAACAGTTTGAACCCATAATCCCAGTATTCCAAATTCCCTGTATGCCTGACCACAAATTCCTACAGCACGTCGCAAGGGATTTCTTTCTTCGTTTTGTAGACCATGTTCGAAGGGAGGCTATGAGGGCCGCAAAAAGGTCGACTGGGGTTGCAGGGAACTTAAAACGTAAGTCATGCTCAGAAGATATCATAAGGATGATCATGTGTGTAAGTGCTGTTTTTCTAGTTGCTACAGACTACTTTGTTGTGTTCCCCTGTTGGTTTTAAAGGCAATCTATATCACTATTGCATATACGTATATACATATATGTATATATTTATATAAACGAAAAGCAGCCGACAAAGCTAATGGAGGCTTCGCCCCCCGATATTTATTCCCATGCCGGACTGGCCAAGAATCTTTGCCAGGCAGAGATCTCAAGAGTGAAGGACGCCTCGACGCCCGAGGATGCGTGCGGCGCTTAGCCCGGACCCATATCCAGGGCCCATGGGGGACTCCAAAATGGCTGTACCTGGAGTCTCCATGATCCTCAACAAAAGTTGGTCATTGCCCAAAAGTAAAGGGGTCGACCCCTGTATTTTGGGTCATGATCAACCATTTTGAAAGGCTGGAGACTCCAGGTGGGTACCTTCCATTTCCGTATTTATAGGAATTCTTATTTCCAGGGGAAATGGCCGGTGATTGAAAAGAACGAGGATGAAAATAACGGGGAATCAACCCGCAGAATGACGTTGGTTTCTTTAGCTTTCCGTTAAAACCACCTCAAAAAAGGGGAACCTCGAATCCAACCCCCGCACCCTGCTTTCCGGTTTCCCCAAAGACCCCAGCATCCAACTCCCTCTAAACTTGATATGACTCAGGCTTCTAGTTGAAGGAAACCCTTAGACCTTTTGGAAACAGATGGCTTTTTCATTAAACCTACACCAGATTACACCTTTTGTTTAGGGGGCGAAGAGCAACCCTTGGGTCTCTTCTAATGAGCATGTAGTTAACTCGTGTTTTCTTTAGAGACCCCTGAATCTTCGTTTGCGCACTTTTTTTCTGCTCAAATGCTTGTTTGCGCGTTTTGTGGTGTTTTTTGCGCGCTTTTTGGAATTTGCGCACTTTTGAGAGATTTGCGCACTTTTCGGATGAAACTCCTCTGGTAGCCAAATTCGGCACTGCTTGTGTAAACAACCGATACCGCGCTGCTCGTGCCCGTGCCGGCGCAGCTGTTTGTTGAAGCCCTTGATGTTTACAGCATATCTAGCTCGTTTTTGTCTCCACCCAAGCCTGTTTTAGGCAGGAAACTTTAGAGCCTCCGGCTCAGTCCGCCGACATTGTCCTCTCCCTTTTCTCCTTCTTCCCTCTCCCTTGTCTCCCTCGTGCGTTCTGTCGTCCTCTCTCCCTCCCTCTGCTCCCCATTCTCCCCATCCCCCCAAGCCTCTCTCTCCTCAATCTCCCACTCTCTCTCTCTCGCTGTCTCTGTTTCTCTGTCTCTTTCTGTCTCCCTGTCTCCTTCCTGTCCACGCCCCTCTACAGAAAAAGGGCACCCTAATTCGAACCTCTCTACTCTCTCACTTTCTCGCTCTTTCTCTTTCTCTTTCTCTTTCTCTTTCTCTCTCTCTCTCTCTCTCTCTCTCTCTCTCTCTGTCTTTCTGTGTCTCTCTTTCTCAGTCTCCGTCTTTCTCTCTCTCGCTGTCTCTCTCTCTGTCTGCTCTTTCTCTGTTTCTCTGATTCTGGCTCTGTCTGTGGCTCTGTCTCTCTCTCTCTCTCTTTCTGTCTCTCTCTCTGTCTCTCTCCCGCTCTCTCCCTCTCTCTCTCTCTCTCTCTGTCTCTCTCTCTCTCTGCATTGCAGCGTCACGTCCCCCCCCGAGTTGCCTCGATGTCCGGGCACTGCCCCTGCATGACCCTGAACTGTCACTACTTCCCCCTTCATGTCCTTGTCACGTTTCCCATGATGTCCTGGTCCTGTCCCTTCCATGCCATTCAGCCCCCCCTTCATGTCCCTGACATTTTCTCGGTATGTCCGCTTCATTTGCCATGTATGTCCCGTTCTTTCGTTGCGAGTCATTTCCCTACATCTCCCGTCGTGCTTGGTTTCCTTGTGCTTTGTTTCCTCTCCTTCCCCCTGCACTCCCCTTGTTTTCATTTCTGTCCCTTGCATGTCCCTTTCAGTTCCCCTTTGTTTCCCTTTCATGTCCCGCTGCTTTCCTGTCATGTCGACTTCCTATTTCCTCCCCTCATTTCACTTGCACTTCCTTGCATTTCCCCTCTGCTCCCCAATATTTCCAGCAAAAAAACACGGGTTTTCCAGCGTTTTCACAATTAGGACGTCCAAAAACACAGAGTTTTTCCAGATTTTCTGCAAAAGGAGGCAGGAACCCCAAACCAGCAAAGAGCCGGCAGGGGGAATCGAGCCTGGGACCCCTGTTTTGCGACACCGGCTCCCCGAAGACTACGTTTAGTGGAACGTCATCAAATTGCCGCGCGGTCCTTGGGGGGGGGGGGGCCCCCCCGTGGCCCCCCTTCCTCTATCAGCAATGTCGGCGGATTTGTGGCACACCCGGCACAAGTACCAGCTATATATCACTTGCACTTGACACTTTGAGGCCATTGATTTGGCCCCTAGGGTTTGCACGGATCCGCTGTTTGCTCCAGAACTGTGCTTGCGCCACATTTTTGTTGAGACAAGTCGCTGATAGGTGAAATTAGTCGATTTTCGGCGCCTTGCCAGCCCGCAATTTGCGCGCAAAAATCCGGTACTATCGCGCACATATCCGCAATTGCGCGCAAATTCGAAAAGTGTGCGTGCGTTTTTGACCTTTTAATTAGGCAGCAGATGTCTAAAGCGCCCGAATTGCCAACCAACAGATCGGTTTTGAGCCACATGTGGTCGTCGCTTGAAGCTGCGCCACTTGCAAGAGCCGTTCGAATTTCTTGCAATATCAGGAGTTGAAACTTGTTTCACTTGACTGTCAAGCTGGCTTGGCAGTGTTGAAGGCTATTCCCGACAACCGCTCCGTTGGTAAATAGCCAAAATGCACTCTGGTTCTTTGGATCATCTAAGTTCTGGCCGATTAGGCGCATGTATCCTTGCATATAGTTGTTTTTGAACAGCTTGACAGGTTCATGTCCAGGCTATACACACCCCGCACCTTTTTCAAACCAGCCAAAAACGCCTCGCGCAGTTCTTGGAACTTTGCGCGTTTTTTGATTGAAACGCGCACTTTTCCGTTGTGCGCACTTTATTTTGCTCAAATGAAGATGCGGGCCGTTCCGGTGGGTGGAAAAACGGCATGGGCAAACCCATGGCCCTGAACTACCACATCCTGACAGCCTTTAACAAGGAACCAAAAAATGTGGTTTCAACAATTCAGTAGCGCCCAAAGCCCATTGACTTTCTAAGATCACAAGGGTTTTTGTAGTCCAAACAATTCAACCCCAATGAAAACCAGGTAGTAGAACCTATACTACAATGTGGCCCTTTACGGTGGGGTTGGAGGTTGGGCGCTTAATCGGGGTGGAACCGAGTTGGCGCTGGCTCAGTGGTTCAAAGCGGATCGACCTACCCGTTGGTTTTCCCATGTCGGCATTTTAGGGGGAACCTGGAATATCCGTTTTCCAACATGGTTGGCTCGACATACAAGCCACAATTTCGTGGCCTCAAGAGGTGATCCGCTTTTTCCAGGTGCGTAAGAAGCAACCGAAGGCACCCCCAACCCTACTCACTTCCTGAGTTCATGAACTTTAGACTTTTTGGAAGACCATTTTAGTGGTAGATATAAAGTTTGGTTACTTTTTCTGGGCCATCCACTCAGCCAGTGAGCGCCTAAGCCTTTCAGGCCACCGCCGGTGCGGCCTCTACCGCCAGCGGTTCCCCCCGTGGAGCGGGTGGTCACCCTCGCGCCTGTGGAGGCGTGCGTTGGGAGGGGAATCTGGAAGAAGGTCGCCAATCCCAAAGATTCCACCCAAAATACCCTGCGCAAATGGGTGATTGCCCCGAACAAATGGGGTGACCTCCCTTTTTTATGGGTAGTTGGAGGGTATGCAATGTGGTTGGCTGGTCTTTTTCTGACAGTAGCCTTTTTGTGGTTTAAAGGGAAGCCAAAAGGAAAACCACCATATTAGTGGGTCTCCCCGAAAAGGAAGAAATCAACAGCCATATTCACTCGCATTTATTTTCATGGAAGCACCTTGGTATACCCACAATCCGCTGTGAAATGAAAATTCGTCAAAGATAAGATGGGGGTCAGCGTGATCGGTGAAAGTAGTTCCAGCGCGAAGCTCGTGTTGTTGACATTGGGGTTGATCCATATTTCTGACCCCCAAATGATGGGTTTCTCATGCGGGAAAGATCAAGTGTTATTCTTGCGGATCTTTAGATCAACCCCCACATGGACTCATGGTTGTGGATACCAAGGGAAGCGGCCTCTAAAGTGCTAGAATAGTCATGGGACTTAAAATCAATTTGGTTGCAGACATGTTTTCCACAACCATGTTTTTTTCTTTTCGATATTATAGGTGTTGTTTTTTGCTAGCGGTTCGTGCAGATATGCCGATTCAAGCCAGTTTGAGAATCCATATGTCGACCAGCATTAGGCGACATTCCTCCTTGATGCCGCATTCTGTTACGTGATTTTTTTTTTTTTGCTTTTGTACCAAGCAGGGACCACCCACAAGGGTTCCTACATTCCCCCTTTTGGGTGGTTTCGACATCACTTTTTGGTGATCAATTTTTGAGCTGACCTGAAATGTGAGTCGGGTACGTCTCAAATTTAAGAGCCAGGGGACCGTAGGTTCTAGCCTACTTGTCCATCCAGGGTTCCATTTTGGGCCCCCCTTTGTGGGCCACACCCATTGAACCCTTCGCCCAAGCCATGGCAATATCTGCCGTTGCGAAAACGTTTATTTGGGCAGACGCCACCCCCATGCTTTCTTCTAACAGCGGTTCCGCGAGGTGTATGAATCCCCCAACATGGTGAGGTTCCTTTTGTCTTTTCCCTAAGCAAACTGAAATATCTGTGTGTGTGTGGGGGGCGTGTGTGTGTGTGTGTGTGGATGTGTTTGGCAACTTGCTGTTTCTTGCTCACTGACTTGTTTGGGCTCCTTAGGGAGCCCTAAGCACCTGTAGGTAGCCCCAGGTGGCTGCGATTCTTCTGTGGAGATATGTTGTGTTCATTCCTGGGGATGTTGGTTTGAAAGGCTCCCTCGAGGTTGTCTCCAACAAGGGCGTTGTTTTGGTCGCTTGCCGCTTCCCTTTTAAGCATCCTCAATGGTACAAAACAGGATGAATTTATTCGCAATGGGCAAAAAGCCTTCAATGAGTTATATACCAGGGACGGACTTTCGAAAACCAAGGCCTTCTTACTTGCTTGCCTTCCTTCTTACATGGTTGATAGAAATGCTTGTTCGTTGATACTGAAAGGTCTCTATTTCCAGACACTCCGAGCAGGTAATATGTTAATATACCAACATAGCTGACCCATTTGGTGTTGGTACATCTGGGTACATGTTACTTACAGTCGGATTGTCTGGGATTACTCATTGCCAGGGTTCTACTGGGGGGTTTCTATTACTCTCCCACCCAGCACTCGGCTTGTTGAGTGGCACCCTTTTTTCCCTTATTTTTTGGTGGCTGCCCCACTAAAAATGGTCTTCCCCAAAAAAGGGTTTCCTTTTTTTCCAGGGTCACTGAACAACTGAGCAGAGTTTTGTTTGTTTTTTTTTTTTTTTTGCGGTAGTAAAGGGCAAAAGGAGAGTGGACATATCAGGCCCCGCATAGGCATATTACTGCAGCCGCGTAGGCGCGCGTAGCCACTTTTTGACAGTCGGCTGGGGAGCTTCTCGCGTAGGCACCGCGTAGGCCCGACTTGACAGGTTGCCAGTAGGTGCGCGCGTACGAGTTTTAGCACGAAACGCACACTGCGTAGGCACTTTGAGGGCAAAACTCCAACCGCGTAGGCTCGCGTAAGCGTTTTAAGGCTGACATACACCTCGCGTAGGCCGTCCTGCATGGTATTTGCACATGGCGTAGGCGCCGGCGTAGGCGTTTGATACGTCATCAGCATCACTTTACCAAAAACACTCCGCTCAACTGAGTTTCCTAAATCTTCACTCTTTCGCACTACGGCAGAGTCATTGAAGGGGATGAGAAGAGTGGTTCTCCGTTACAGATTGGTGTCGATGCCCGGTCCGGGCGCGGTCGTTTCAGGGTACCTCTTATGACTGAACAACTGAGATCAACCGCCAGAACCTGACACGTCAATGTGAAAAGCCTGGGACTCACTGCCTGAGTTCGGGCCATTCCTTTGGCCAGGTCGAGAAGTTCGATCAGGATGCCGAGGCCGGGCTCGGAGTTGTTGCCTTTGGCTAGGAGGTGTGTAAAGGATTGTTCTCGTGCTTTTTGGGGCAGGTGCAGTTTCGTTGTGCTGCCTAGGAAAGGGCTGTTTGTGTAAGGAATTCTACCCGTTTTCGGGGTTCTTATTCCCAAGATGGCCATCTTTTTTAGACTTTGACTCTCAAACAAGCCGAGCCACCCAAATAGAAGGCGCCAAATTTGAACCTTTGATCCTTTTAGCCTCGAACCGACCGGCAACTCAGTTGTTCAGTGGCACCCTTTTTCCCCTTTTTTTTGGTGGCTGCCCCACTAAAAATGGTCTTCCCCGAAAAGGGTTCCCTTTTTTCCCAGGGTCACTGAACAACTGAGGTTTCCCTAAATCTTCAGCGTTTCGCACTACGGCAGAGTCATTGAAGGGTATGGGAAGAGTGGTTCTCTGATGCGAATGGGTTTCGATGCCCAGGCGCGTTCGTTTCTCAAAACCTGGCTGTTTGAGGGCCCTAAATTGATCGGGAGTGTCTGGGTGGTTTGATTTTCTTCAAGTGGCCTGTGCCCGAAGAACATGCAGGTGCAGTACTTCAGCGAGTCTCGAGAGCGCTGGATCGACGCGGTGGTCTCTCGGCGCTGAAATGCGGGGTCAGTTTTGGTTTAGTGCCTGGCGGGAACGAGCATAGGTGTCCTTTTTAGGTTAGTTTGATTAAAAATCGATGGCTCCACTGGTTTAGAGGTGGTTTCTTCCATTTACCAGGGTCATCTGTTTTTCCACAAGGCCACCTATGGGAGCGAGCTGTTGCTGTATGTCCCAATTACCAGGGATCCTGGTTGGTTCGATGATGTGGGTATTTCAGCCCCCAAACGCAAAAAAAGGAGTGTTGTGATTCTGAAACAAATACTTTGTTGTTTTTTGCTGACGTGGCCGTGTCAACAAAGACATGGCTTTGCGAAGACGGAGACGACTGATCTATAATATATATATATATATATATATATATGTATTTATATTTATATATATATGCATGTGTGTGTGTGTGTGCGTGTGCCAGTGAACATACGAAACCACATGAGACATGGGAGTTGGCAAGAGACGATTAAAGGAATGCTTCCAGGTAGATTTTCCGCAAGCGTCTCAGGAAACTGAGGCGACTTCGTTCCAAGCAAAGCGTGAGGTTTGGGTTGTGGGGGGGGGGGGTTTGCGCTTGGACACGCGGCCATCAGTCAGGTGCGGATATCCTTGTGTTTTTTGTTTGTTCTTCGAGGGAGGGGGCACTTGAATGCCTGAAGCAACTTGTGCAGATTTCTAGTACTATTTGGGCCCAAGTGATACAAGCCAGAGGGCCCCAACGTATCTAAGGGCCCAACGTATCTAAGGATGTAATTACTTGAGGGGGCCCAAAGGAGTCATCCCAAGGTGCGAATGCTGACTGCAATATTGCAAGTAGGGCAGCCGTCAGAAGTCCGACAGAGCGTGATTGGACTCTTGTGGCCTCCATCCTGCCAACATGCGAGCCTTGGGAAGGATCGGCATATACCAAGGACCGAGGACAATGGTCAAAACACCCCCCTTATGGGTTGGTAGTGACATTCATGGACCCACGTGTATCATGACTTTGACCAAGCTGCCCGACTCGAAGTTTTGACCATGGCGCATGTGACCGTACCGGATGGTTAGCCCTTGGGTGAGGTGAGCAGCGGACAACACAACAGCCGGTCATTTGTTTTGGCCGCCCCTATTTGTTTTGCATGATGGGACGCTCAGTAGGACAGGCTCTCGAGCTCACATACAGCCGAGAATGCGCGCCTGTTCATTCATGCCATTTGCTGCTGCAAACGATTTTTGGGCATGGCGTTTGGTGGTCCCTGATTTTGGATCATGTTTGGTAAGATTGTCAGCTCACCACTTTTTGGCGTCTCGAACGCCAAGGTTGAGGCCCGTCACGAGAAGGATGGGGATTGGGGGGGAGTTGCGGGTGTTGGAGTCGAGTTGGGGGTGGAAGCAAGCCTTCTTTACTAGTCCCTTGGTACCGTGTGAGGCCGGCAAGCGCCATTGGAACATATATTTTCTTGTAAGTCATGGAGTGTTTGGGGGTTTCGGGTATCGAATCACATGTCTGACACTCTCATCTGGCTGTTTCACTCGATCGAAGTCGGAGAGTTTTGACACCAGTTCCACTGTGGACCTTAGCTGGTCACCTGATGGGCCAGGATCGTCCACCAGCAGACACCGCATGCCGATTGGAGAATCAACCTGACTGAATCGAATCATCCAGTGCTTCCCTGTGGCGTGTCGCGACTACAGGCTTGCGTAACCAGGGCTCCTTGACTCTGGGTTTTACCATGGATGCTGGCGTGGCAGGTAGTTCAGGTCACCCATCTCGCACTCTGAAAGTCAAGCCTTACATACACCATATCAGTTGTTCAAAGCCGACCTTTTGACCTTTTGGCCCATTTTTAGTCATGGCCTCAAAAGGTTAACCTTTTAGTTCCAGGTCCTTTGGGCAACTGAGCCATTCGCCCCAGCATCCTTGATTCAACTGCCCCGGTTGTCTCTTTTACCAAGGCCATACTTCTGGGTCCATTGAGGTGATTTGTTCGAGCTTCTCAGCATCTCTTGGCAGTTCCTTTTCAGCTCAGCCGTTTAGCCATCATTTTGCCCAAAGGCTCATATTTGGGGAATCTGTTGATGAGTTGCTTTGAACCAAACCAACAGTAAATACTGCCCAGTGTCACTGAGCAACTGAGATAGAATCTCCAGCTCAGGGAGCTGCTAGCTTTGGTGTCACTCCAATGGACCAAGTCGCCCCGGGGCTCGCCGCTCCAAAGGACGGGGCCATCACCTATGATCTGAACTGCAAGAAGGGCGTGGCGGCAGATCGCCTGCGGCACGCGAACGTTCAGTACCAGGCCAGGCATAGTTTTTTTGGTTTTAATTATGTGTTCATTTTTTGTTTTGCTGGTACTATTTTAATACTGGTACCCTTTCTTTGAAGTTTAAAGGGAAACCAACAGCAAAAAGGAAGCGTCTTTTTTTTGCGGTACCCTTTTTTGTAGTTTGAAGCGAACAGAACAAAAAGGCATTTGGGGGTGCCCTAAAAAGGGGACACTCCCAAATGCGCGAGTTCCGAACTTGCGTTGAACAACTCAGTTGTCAAGTTGTTAACCTTTATTCTTGACTCCCTAAGGAGCAAGTGAAACTGTTGGACCATCTACTTCCCCCAACTTTAACGACGGCGATTTGGGTCCCGAGTTATGGGTTTGGAGGTGTTCCGGGGTATTCTGTGCAAGAGCCAGGGGTTCAAATCCCCAAACCACCACTCCAAACCGCGAAATAAGGGTTTGATTCACTGGCTGGGACCAAAAACAACTGTTCAACCTTTGGGCAAGGCGAAACTGCATGTAGCAAAGAGTTGCACTTGAGCTGTCTTTTTATCAGGTTTCGCCTCGGTCAGTTTCGAGACCTCGTTTTGACCTGGTGAGTTGGCTCAGTTGTTCAGTGGCACCATTTTTCCCCGTTTTTTTTGGTGGCTGCCGCACTAAAAATTGTCTTCCCCAAAAAGGGTTCCCTTTTTTTTGCAGGGTCACTGAACAACTGAGTTGGTTGACCTGTGACCTTTTGAACCGTTGATTCGTATTCTTAGTCTGGTTCTCCAAGCGGACGCAGCGTTTTTCCTCGCATCTGTGGGATTTGTGAGGAACGTACGACATGTTGCCGTGTCCTCAAATCTTCCCCAGAATTGGCTCCCCTTTTTGATTTCTTTTTGGCATTTTTGGGGTATCTTTGTGTTCCACTAACCAGGCAAAAACAAGTTATATATTTTTGCCGGGGTCCTAATTCCAGCCTAGAAATAGAGCCCGCCTGTGCGCCGCTTCAGGTCCCCTTTTTCGATTTCGCATGTCAAGCTTCGGCATTGTGATGCCACTGGAAGGCACGCAACCACCAATTCATCACCTGCAAGGGGATGCAAACGTGGCTGAAGAACTCGTCATGCACCCAACATTCGTAACGTGCTGTAGGTGGAGTTCTTACTTTTTCAGCTGAAGAACAAGGAGCCCGCAGAAAGAAGCAGGAACCCACCCCTTTTGGGGCAACCCGTGCTGGATCCAAGGTACCAACCGGCCCCAAACTGAATGCCGGCCGATTCACACCCAAATCGATCGAGCCAAGGATCCTTTGGGCATGTTCATTCCCATGCCAATCTCATTGGATCGACCCCCCCCCCTTCCCAACCCCAACCCCTCCCTGATCTCCTTCAAATCCAGCATGAACAAGGCCACTGAATGCATGAAGCCCTATATGAATACTGGGAAAAACTATTTACCGACTGGCAACTGGTAGATTTTGTCCGGGCTTGTCTCTAAATAGTGGGGACTCCACCCCCCCCCCCCCCGAAAAAATGAGCGGTTTCCCCCTGGGGTCATCATTTTGATGGTTTCTGGTGGTTAACAAAGTCACAAAATGGGGGTGTTGCCCTTTAACCTACAACTTACGGGGTGACTTTGATCATGGTAAAACAATGAGCCCAGTTTCCCTTTGGTTCCGCTGCTCTCGAGGTGGGCGAGCAGGTGGAGTACTGGAGCGCCACATCGCACCGCTGGATGCCCGCCATTGTGACTCGGATTCCGCGCGGCCGTAGCCGCGTGTCGTTTGGGGACCCCTTTTTGGCTGGCTTTAAAGGGAAACCAAAAGACTAGCCACACTTCCAGCGGTGCTCAAAGGCGTTTGGCTGGCGCTCTAGGCCACAAGCTCAGCGCGCTCGGGGTGCAGCGTTCATGCTGAACAGTTGAAGTGCCCGGCTTGTTTCACTGGAAATGAACCAAAATTTGTTCGGGCCCCCTCACAAACGGCACACCCGGATAGCAACGCGATGTTCAGGCCCCAAACTGGGTACTTGTCAAGTGCAGGGCTATTTTTGGTAAACATCAGTTAGTTCGAATCATACGATGCTGGTTGAGATCAGCCGCTTTCTATATCAAGAGCTTTGCTCACTCCCTGAGATCCTGAACTGTTTGAGAAGACCAGTTAGTGTCGCACAACAGGCCCAGACTTGTTTTGGCCAATCCGCTTAGGAAGTGAGGTATGCATACCGTCGACTGCGCCGACTATTTTTTTTTTTTTTCGCGTTGGAAAGGGAATCAATTTCACTGGACATAGCTGGGGTCTCCTTCTGGACCCTTAAGACATGGGATCGTGATTTGTAAGGGTCAGACTCGGAGACTCCAGGTATTTGTTTTTTTCTTTCGGGGGGCGGAACCATAAATGGAGTCAGGGGTGTTTGAACTTGCGGGCTTCGCCCAAGGGCTTCGTGCCTTGTTTCCAGGGCAATGTCCGAAAGCGGCCGAAACAAGAGGTGAACATAGCCCAGATCCATTGCCTGATAGGTAAGGGCTTGCCACCCTAGAAGCAAAAGAAACATGGTGACTTGCTCTAACTGGGATCCCACTGGGAAGCATGCCCCGGAAAATTATGTGAGATCGACTGGCTTTTGAGGTCCAGATCCATGCAGCAATTCGAACCGCGGCGTTTTCTGTTTTTGTTTGTTTTTGACACCATTCAAATTGGGCGGGGGTGTCGTCACAATAGTGGTCCAACTTAAAATGGTGAGCAATTCCTTTTGGTTCCCCTTAACAACC